TTCTCCAGCCAGCAGAGCTGGCTGGAGAATTCTGGGAGTTGAAGTCCACAAGTCTTAAAGTTGCCAAGGTTGGAGACCTTTGGTTTAGAGTCAGCATATTGCCCCCAACAATCTGGGTCCTCATTTTACTGGTCTCCAAGGATGGAAGGCCGAGTCAACCTTGAGCCTGGTGAGAATCGAACTCCTGGCAGTGAGCAGTAACTTAGCCCTGCTGTACTGCCTTCTAACCACTGCACCACCATTAAACATTTGTCATAACAATAAAAAATAGTGGTGTTCAATTCTGATTTGTATGCAGTTTTGTAACCCGTTTTTCATATCTGCAGCGTATAGTAAGCTATTGAAATGTACATTTAGCAAATCTAGAAGCATTTACAGATCAGAATTAAGCCTGATGTTTAATAACAATAACAGAGTTGGAAAGGAACTTGGAAGTTGTTCTCTAGCCCAACCCCCTCCTCAAGCAGGAGACCCTATACCATTTTGGACAAATGGCTGTCCAATCTCTTATTAAAAACCTCCAGTGATGGAGCACCAACAGCTGTTAAATCAACTTGTATGGGTTGTATACATTCATTTGGAAGATAACTCAGTTTGTGTACCATTTTAAATGCATTGGTTAGATTTTGTCAAAGCTTATTCTCCCAAGCTGGTTAACAGTAAAGTATGTATTTTTTCTTCTTAGATTAGAAATGATTCTTCTCAAGTAATTAATGAAAGTGTGCCACATATTCATGCAAAGGCAATGGAAATGAAGAAACTCTATAGAAAGATTGACAAACTAGAGGTATTTCAAATGTCACTATTTTAGTTCTCTTTACAAGGCTAATAGAAATTACTTTCATTTTTCTTTTGGAGGTTAGGTCTTATAATGTTAGCGTAGCAAGAGATAATTCAATGTATTGATTCTTTGCAGACCCTTAATCATAATCTACCGGTATATAAAAAAACCTTCTTGCAAAAAAATATTTGTGAATGTTTCTATTCACACTGGTTTCCCAATGTTTTAATGAACACATGTATCTTTGATAAATGTTAAAGATAAGCAGATTTTTTTTTTAAAGATGATGTTTCACTTAGTCATTGAGACTCAGGTCACATATAAGTCTAATCATATTATTACTGCACAGTAATGTGTAAGTTCCTCTCCTAGAAATAGATTTTTGTATTTCAAATCTAGTGAATCTCTACATGTAGTCCTTGACTTACAACCACAGTTATGTCCAAAATTTCTGTTACTAATTGAGACATTTTTAATTGAATTTTGTCCCATTTTATGACCTTTCTTGCCACAGTTGTTAAGGAAATCACTACAGTTGTTAACTTAATATGGTTAAGTAAATCTGGCTTCCCCATTGACTTTGCTTGTGAAAAGGTCACGAAAGGGGCTCACATGACCCCAGGACACTGCAACCATCATAAATATGAGTCAGTTGTCAAGCATCTGAATTTTGATCACGTGACCATAAAGATGTTGTAACAGTTGTGTGAAAAAACATGTTTCTTTTCAATGCCATTGTAACTTTGAACAGTCATTAAATGAAGTGTTGTATGTTGAGGACTACCTGTACTTGATTCTGAAGAACTTGTCATATATACATGTCTCCACCCTTTATTAAATCATCTGATTTTATATTAGAAGTTCAAAATACAATGAATCTTGTGGTTCTCGGGTTCCCTTTTGTTTTAATCAGACATTATGTTGTATCATGTTTTCATGTTTCTAAACTAAATTGAACTTCCAAAGATCCAGTTCTTGACTAAACTATGCTTGCTGCTGTCTCATTCAATTACTTACAACCCATTTAATTTAGTAAAGTAAATTGTAGGTTTTGAAATTTATTACCCAAGATTATCTGTTTTTCCCTTCCTTTTCTCTTACAATTCTGTGAAGTAGACTAGGATGAGAAAAGTTGACCTATTCAATTGGTGATTTTTTTTGCTAAGAAACTGATTCTTTCCAGTATTTTAGTCCAATATTCTAATTCAAAACTAGGAAATTGAACCACTCTGTTATGTTATGTTGCTGCTATTGCTATTTTTTTCTCCTTTTCTTTTAAACCAGGCTTTTGTAAAAATGATTGGTAATAATGTGGCTGGAATGGAGGAACAGATCATAAAGGCAGAATCAGACCTTGGAAATTTTCCAAATACATTAAAAAAATTGTTGTACACAATCAACGTGCCATCTTTTTTAAATGTAAGTGTTCTTTATTAAGGTTGAAAAGATATGAGATACAAATTGAAATTAGTTTATGAAGTAGATCATAGAAACCTTAGATTTCTTGAATCTCTATTGCAGGAACAAAACTGATCCAAATATAGACGTGTAACTTCCCTAAGCTGAAGGTGGATGATCAATTATTAGGAATTCATAAATTTATGATACATTTACCCCAAATAATTTCCAAAATAACTTTCAATGAGATAATTATTTTAGATTTTCAAAGAATGTAAGAAAATGATTATTTTAATATTTATTTAAAGGAAATTTTTTCAGGGTCTTCCTTTAGATAAATACAAAGGAATTCGGAGGACAACAGATCACCTGCTTCTGTTGTCCTTTAGAGGAGGGGCTTGGATGAGCCTGCTTGTTTCATCCACCATGCTCCTTATTCTGTATATAGGGTGATTCAGATAGTCCCCAACTTAGAATATTCCTTCAGTGACTGCTCTAAATTACTATGGCACTGAACAAAGGGACTAATAACCTTTACTCAAAGTTACAGCCGCTTCAGTGCCTCTGTGGTCAGATGAGCAAAATTTGGGCACTTGGCAAATTGCTCACCCTTACAATTGGTTGCAAGGATGCTGCAGCCCGCAGCTGCTTTTCTTCCTTTCCGTCTCACCCAAGTGAGTCCCTTGGACCTACCTTCTTCCTGGCTGAGTTCCCATAGGGCTTGGGCCTGCTTCCTGCCCCACGGGTCCCACATCTTTGAGCCTCCCCCCACATCACACCTCACTTCACTTACCTTTTCTGAAGATCATCTTTGTGAAGGAGAAGTCTTTGTGAAGGCTCCTAGTTATATAAAACTATGTGCTACTGCCCTCAGCAGCCACAATTATAACAGGTAGTTCTGTTGACAGGCTGCCTTTGTCTACATGGTCTAACTTTCTATAAGTTAGACCTCAAACATCAAAAATTATACATCTCAAGTCCTCTATAAAGAGAGATCTTTGGCTTAGTCAGTAACCTCACCATGTGGAAGAAGATGCAATTAGATGAGCTATCTCGCTCAACTGCTGTTTCCTTTCTGCAGCTTACATGTGTTTAGAAAAGCTGTGTAAAGATACTTGCCTGAAATAAATACTTTGGAGGACAAAAATCAATTCACTGATTTGGGAGTAAATCAAATAAAGGGAATAAACATAGAGAGGTTCCCCATCCTGAAGTATTAGAACCTCTTGTAGCTAGTGGCTTACCTATGCCTGTTTGTTCAGTATGTTTACCTTTGCACTTAAAATATTTTTATTGGACAACTGCAGCATTGAAATCATCTGTACATATTGAGCATGTTTGCATGGCAGACTGAACTGATTATCTACCAAAAAGTTAAGGATAGCTCCAATTAAATCAGGAATAAATGGAACTTATATTAACTTTATTTATGGAATTGGCAGGGGAGGAATTCCTCTACTGTTTCATAAGTTACTACTATCATTTACTATGAAGGCAACAGCTAACAAGGACGTGAGAAGACAGACTTGCCTTCTGTACCCATTTTGACCCCATTTGTTATGCACCTCCTGGCTCTGTGTTTGGGATGAGGGAGTGGGATAATCTGAAGGAAATGGCTGGACTCGATTTTCCAAGTGAAGTAAGTTAGCATATAAGTGGATGAAAAAAGCTGTAAAATATGCCTAAGGCATCTATGCAAGCTTTGCAAACGGCATGGCTCATTTCTTGGTTCAGAGAGGTTTTTCATTTGTGCTCTTCATATTGTAAAACTCGACAATCCTAGCAGACTTTCCATGAAAAAGGGTGGCTGAATTTCTGACTTCCTTTTCAGATCCTATCATTTGGTCCAGAAATCCCTTATGCACACTGAAATTTAAATGTAAGAGTTCTAATCTTTTCAAAATCTACTTTAATGGATGACACCCAAACTTAAGCAGGGCATTTTGTTCAAAATTATTAAATTGTAGATTCTAAAAGTCAGGTATACAAGTATTTTGATATACATTTTCATTACAGAAATCATCATCGAGGCAGAATCAACCACTTTATGAGCCGCTTGATCTCTTCAAGACTGAAGACTACTTTCCTTGTCTTGATCAAGGACAGTGTATGTGATTTAACTGGAAGCGGTAACATGTAAAGGAGTATTATCACTCAGATTCATGCTGGCCTTTAAGTTGTTGCTGCACTTTTTTCCGGAAAACTATGGTGCCTTTCTTGTGTGTCCCAGTTTGTCTTCAAGCGTATTTACTTTGGCTGGATTTTTTGTAAAAATAATATACTAGTATTTTAAAGCACAATCTAATATAAAGCCTTAAGTGGCAGCTAATTTTATCAAGAAAAGGTAGTATGATATAAACTGTAAGCAAGTCTAACACTATCCTCTTAGATTAGACAGGGAATAAATGGGAGGGACTGGATACACAGGAAAGTCTTCCAGCCATTATTTTCAGCCAGAATAGTTCAGAAAAACTGACCTATATAATTCTGTACTTCCTTCTCTCCTAGGATAAGACTAGAGTAAGAAAGATTTTACAATCAGGTATCAAACTGTGGTCCATGTTTTTTTGGCTAAATTCTTTTGAAGATTAACAAAGTCTATACGTGAAGAGAAATAAGTGGGGAAAATAAATATACTGCGTTTCCTGCTGTTAATCTCTGTACCACAGGCATATTTTTGAAATAGTACTCAGAAATGCAATAAGGATCAAAATATGCATTGATGGTAATTTGATTCTGTTCAATACAGCAAGAAGTCGTCCACTGGTTGAGCATAGTAAAAGTAACTTTGTTCTTTGAAATGCTGTATATTAAAGAAAAATAGCAATATGTAGATTGCTAAGTTGCAGAAGCAACTGTTTCATAAATTTTTTCATGAATATCCTTTTATATAAAATGTGAAATGTTTGATCACCAAAGCCCTTATATGTTAACTTGTAATTATGCATTTAATTTTTTAGATTAAAATGCCGTTTGAAAGCATGTTGTCCATATCTTTACAAAGCCATCTTAAGATCCTAAATGCATATGAGAAACTGACAAGATGGTTGGCTTTTTTTACGTTAAGATGGCAGGGGAAAAAAGTATTAATAGCCAAGTCCTACAGTCCCTGCCACAGCTATACACTATGAATTTGTGGGACAAGGGAGATTTTAACTAAGTTTTCTTCTTTTTGTCACAGAAGGCTACAGGACCTTGATTTCCAATTTTTTTTAACTGAGAATATAACTTCTTCCAAGAAGTTATTCTGAAGTTTGCTTAACCATAATTCACAAAATGTTGATATAAAAATGAAATGGGGCTTAGTAGTATATGCCATCTATGTAAGCCAGTAACCTGATTTATGACAGGGACAGCTTTATCATAGGAGCATGTGAAAGCTTTATATAATGTAATTTGAGGAATCAGCTCTTTCTGCTTGTACCTCCATATTATCAGCCAGTCATTTCTAGTCTTAAATTGTGGGAGACAAATTTGCGTTCTTCATTTTGGATTTCAGTTCCCATTAATTCTGGGCTACATACCTCATTGAAGAGAGTTCTTGGCATTCTCTGAACTTGGTTATTTGCTTGCAGATGTTTCGTTACCAATATATATTTCTTGGAATTATTGACAAGTATGAAAGTACTAGTTCAACAAAGGGAAAGTAAATTGATTAGGGAGGTGTGTATTTTTTCATTTGTCCTTTTCATTACCAAATCAACATGATTGTGAACAATTAAATCCCAATTCTAGTTTTTAGGAATTTACACTTACTAAGGGTAACAATATAAATCATTTCAGGCTTTTAAAGTTTTACTTCAAGGGGAATACATCCATGATGTTTGGTGTAAGTACAAATTGAAGCATGTCATTTCAGATCTGACCATATAGCCTTTTACACAGAAGCAACTGTTCATTGTATCTAATGATAGGGTACATGATAAAGTAGTAATGTCGGCATGTACATCAGAAACTATTCAACCTCTCCTAAATCAGTAAACTAAATGTAGGGAAGAAAAGTGGATCATGCGATTTTACTGATGACTGCTCAAAAAACTATTATAGATGATTTTTCAGTGTGGTCTCTGGATTCCTCTGTGAATTACTAGCAAGGTACATAACTGGAGGTGGATGTCATCATTAAGACAGAACCAAAAACAATATCAGTAATTAGAAAGGTGCTAGTAATCCTGGCCAAAGTCTGGAGTGTGAAGTGAACAAGGATTCACTCAAACCAAGGATGAGTACCTGGTTTAAGAATATGATGCCAAAGACATGAAATGTCTATTCTAATGGAATGAAAATGAGAGGACTATCACTTGACACAAACAGTAGATAAAAATATCTTGCAACCAGGTAAGTTGTTTGTTTTGATAATTCATGATTATTCAAAAATGAAGCAGCCAACTGGAGAACCAGTCCGTCACTGAAAATTTGGTACAGTTAAAAGGAAGCAACTTACTGCTGGCTAGGTTGGGCTCCCACCAATTAGCTAAACATTGAAGCAGTATATACTAAATTACAATATAGCACAGATGCAAAAGCTATGTTTGGCTTCACAGATACCACATTGTATTAATTTTGCTCCTCCATAACCGTGAGCCAGTACTTGCAAAGAAATGAACACCAGTTTGGTGGTGATTAAGTTGTCATGCTAGAAAGCAGGAGACCATGAGTTCTGATCCCGCCTTTACCATGAAAGCCAGCTGGGTGACCTTCAGCCAGTCTCTCTCAACCCAATTCACAGAGGAGTTGATGTGAGGAAAATAGGAGGAGGAAGGAATGTTAGATATATTTGCCACCTTGAGTTATTTGTAAAAATAATAACGTGGGATACAAATAATTAAAATGAAATGCAGGAATCTCTTAAGCAAAAGCAGAACTCCTGTTTCCAATGTTGGTTAAAGAAATCAAACAATTATGAAGTAGTTTTAAAAATAACAATAGCAATGACACCCAGTAAGTGTATTTATCCTTTTATAAAAAATAAAACTATATATTGTATAAATTTTGACCAAATAGCAGTTTAAACTCCCCTCAGTTTAACCTTGGAGTCTACCATCTTCCAGAGCAGGTAATTGTCTTATCTTTAATTGGCTGCAGTGCTTTTATTTTGTACAGTGTATAGGTTTAGACAATGTTATTCAGTTCAGAATCTAGTATTTCTCTCAATAACCCTGGAAAATGAAGTGAGAGCCAGGAAAGCTATTCTTGCCTTTGGGGGTCAGGTCTTCCAAGTCCTTAGTTCCTGCTGTATAATTATCAGTGCTAGTACAGGTGTGACCTTTCAGTTTCTCCAGCGATAATAAACTATATTTAAATATCTCTACCTTGATATAACTCCTAGAAAATGAGGCTTCGAGAAAGAACAGAAACCAAAACAGTAAATCCTCTTACAATTCTCTGCCATTTATAGAAATCTAATAGCCTGCAATGCAAGTGCTTAAATTGCAATTATTTACATGCAGTTTCATCAAACAAGTCTTACCATAAGAAACATTTTAAATAACTAAAATGCACTGTAAACTCTGCACACCAAATGTTTTCTGATAGGGCAGTAATAAGCTATGCTGTTCAAATTAATAGCTTATTATTTTCTAGCAGCTAAAGACTAGCCTTCTGGACCTGGAAACTGTTCGATCATCCAAACCCCAACATATTTTAAAAAGTAGTAATAAAACTGCTACAGCCTTAGCCTTTTGTTTTAAAATGTCTACCAGGTTTATCTCTTGAATAATTCTAGACAAAACTATTATCTATTTGTAGTATCAAACCACTGACCATTATGACAGAAAAGTTTCCACTGCATTTTGAAGAAAAATAATCCTAAACTTATAAATGGCAAGCATTCTTTCACATACTGCCATTATCATAATCCAAGAGATTGTATTATCAGTCACAATGCAACATATTCCCACATTAGATTGCTGAAGTTGTCGTTTATCCCATATTCCAAGATAATATTCTCAGCAATATAGCAAAGTTCAAGAACTTATTTCCAATATTGCTCTTGACTATTTGTCAGTACAAAGGATTAACAGTCATGAATGCAATACCTATACCTTTCTGGAACAAAAGGCAAACTAGAATGCTCGCAGCAAGCTATAGCATTAAATAAAATTAGCTCGACAGCCATTTTAGTCTACATCAATTTTTTGAACCTGGACATCTTCACCTCACAGAGTTATCCAGCAAGAATGGCATAATTAAGAATTATAATAGCATATTTGGGGGATATATGATGAAGACAAATACATCTTAATTGAACAGGTAGCTCCTAACTTTATTTAATCCAAGATGCATTATCAATACTTGGAAACCAAGGATACAGAAAAACAATGGCACATCTACAAAAACCTAGAATTTCTTACTAAGGAGAAATTCAGAAACACCATTTGAAATTATCTCATGTGTACCATTGTACCTACAGGAGCAAATAAAGTGTTTTAATATCAGTATTTTTGCATTTGGTACTGGCTATGAACTGCCAAGTTTGAACATTTTTAAGTGTGATAAGGTCATATTAAAAGCCAAGCACCTTAAATTTTAAACAGAAAAGATGATTATATTACACTGTTATAATCATCTAACCAATTTTGATATGTTACCAAAAGTATACACTTTATTTTTTTAGAAACAATTGTTTTTTTTAAAAAAACTATAAATTTATTACACAATTGTATAAAATCCCATGGACAAAACTACATCATAAGCAAGGGAATAAAACAGAACAAAAGGAACTAGAATTTCAGGTACTCCTAAATACACCCCCACGGAACTGATTGTGTTGTGTTCACACAAAATAGTGAGCTATGATTCTAAAAAAAAAAAAAATCTAGTTTATCATTCAGGAGCAGCACATTGCCGTGACTCAACCTTGGTACCATCCACCAATCAATAACTACAGTAACCTGTGCTTACAAAAAAACCCTCTCATATGGCAAAACTAAGATTCATGACTGTTACAGATCTAATGAGCCATAATTCAAAGTAGGCATCTAAGTCAGCTGATTTGGGAGCCAAAAGCAAGGTCTAAATTTGAGTCTAAATTTGACATTAAGCTTTTTTTTCTTGCTGATTTCTTCTTATAGTCAATGTTAGTGATGGACAGAACTAAGGACTGATCAGGCAAAGTAACAACGCTTGTGAATGATAATATCTTTTTTGTAATTCTAATTTACTACTGTATGCAAATGTAACCAAAGAACAGTAATATTTTAATATTACAAAAAAACTAAGTGGAATAGTTTCTGATGTAATGTGCAGCCTTGGTTGCCTGATATCAGGATTACTTTTTTAAGAAAAAAAATTATACATCCTCCAATTCACATTTTAAATTCAAACTGTGCTTTACATTTTTAAGTTCTGACATACTAAAGCCCAAAAGCACGGATGGCTTAAAGTTTTTTATTGCCTTTAGGCAGAAGTATCTCTTTCTCCCAAAAAATGATGCAACATCCACTTTCCATGCACATAGAATGGATGACAGCAATTCTAGTTCTTTTTTACTGGGATATGGCTTCTTGTGAAAATAATCTGCAAGAAACCTTTTTTGGACTTCATTTGAGCTTTGTTGGAATGGCTTCGGATTCAACACCAACAAATCAAGATCTTCAACTGAAGTCTCTCCCTTGGTTTCAGTTTTATGATCAGACTTTTGTCGTTTTGAAGGCACACAATTCACCTCCTTTACTGGAATTTGGGCTGTACCGTTATTTATAATGAAGAATGGCGGATCCTCGTCGCTTTGGTCTTCTGAAACAGCAGCAGCATAAAGATGATCAGACTGTTTCCTCTTGGCTGAAAGAGAAGCATCCTCATGGTTCTCCCCATTCATAAGTGGTAGATCCTGCTTCTCATCAAGGTCAACCTGCATCTTCATAGCTGGCGAGGTCTCCTTAGGAGCACTCCGGCATCGAAGCAGATGCACAGCTATAGCTGTTAGAGTCATGTTGCCAGTGTATACTCCACAGCAGTGGATACATTTAAAAGCAGGAGTCTTCAAAATGGTATGCACAGTTGGCATGATGTGGTGCCGCTCTTTCAAGTGCATTTCATAAGCATCGGTGTTAGTGAAAATACCATAACAAAAAGGGCAAGTAGAAACTTTCTTGTTCTCTCTGCTCGTTTCGGCATCCTCTTGTTGCAGTTTGATATACAAAGGAATAAGTGTCCTTGAATTTACACCAGCAAGTACAACAAGATGTACTTCTCTTTCACAAAGTTCTTTTGAAGTTATACTGAAGTCAAAATGAGGGAATATTAGATGACCTTCAGAATCACTTGCAAGCTGAAACCCTTTATCATTGTAATCTGAGTGCAGCTCCTTCTTTCCGTTATGCACAGATTGGGTGTGAGTCACAAGGCTTTTTAAATCATAGAAAATACTGGTGCAGAAAAGGCAAGTTAACCCATGGATAAAAATATGTTTTAAAAGCTCTGCCTGAGTTAGAAAGCATTTACAAGAAAAACATCTCACTGTCTTATCTTTTAGCCACCTCAGAAAAGGTGCACAGACAGCAACTTTGTCTATTTCACGAGTCACCTCTGTCTTAGAGGTGCTACATTTGTGGGCCACTTGCATGTGCACTTGATAGACATTTGATGGGAAAAGCTCACTACAAACAGGGCAAGTCTTCCATTGCTTAGCCTGCTTGAGAACTAGATTCATTGCAGTACTGGTTGGAGAAGTCTTGGTAAGAGTATTTGTAGAAGAACTTACTGCGACAGGGGATGGTACAGTAGCAGGACCCTGAGAAAGCTGGGCAACTGGGACAGATGGCATCAACTGAACAGGCACCTGAGGCGGTGGAACAGTTGCCGCCCCACCACCTGGTGGCCCAGGCAAAGTCACAGAAACTGGTGCAAGAGTGTATGTAGGTATTCCATTAACTTGTTTGCCAGTTGGAATTAATTGTCGGAGCACAGGTCCAGTGGTAAGTAAAGTAGCATTCTGAGACACTCCAGGTCTAACAGACTGATTAACTGGAAGAACCTCTGGTGTAACAGGCTGATTAAACTGCACAATCCCAGGTCCAGCAGATGGGTTTACAGGAAGAACCCCTGGTGTGACTGGATGGTTAAACCGAAGAACTCCCGATGTAATTGTCTGGGGAACTGGAAGAACTCCAGGCCCACTACCAATAGGCTGATTTACGGCAAGGATCCCAGGTGACGAAGGCCTGTTAACTGGAATAGCTCCAGGCCCTGGCATAATTGGACTGCTGATAGTTCTGACTGATTGATTACCTACAGGAAGCAGAGAAGGCCTGATAGGTCGAGTGAAAGAAATGACTCCTGGAGGAACAGCTCTGCTTATGTTTCCTGTGGGTTGATTTAGGCAAAAAACTCTAGGTCTTACCGGCTGTTTTAAGGGGAAACGATGAGAAACAAAGACTGGTTGGGAAACTGCAGGCTGAAGACCAACACTATTCTGATTTGCTGGGCGAGGACCGGAAAGAAGGGCAATATGTAACTGGTCAGCAGAAGTCGAAGCTGTCATACTATTGGCGCTACCTGAAACATTCAAAGGTGCAACCACATTATGAACTGCTTTTGTCGACACCATATTTTGATTCTGATTAACTGATGGAAGTGAAAGCTGAAAACGTGATGTAGAATTTGATCCTACAGAGGTAGGAATCAGTTGTGAAACATTACCGGTTGTAGGCGGCTTGGGAGCAATATTGATAATCTGCAGTGACTTTGTTTGTCCTGTTTTTTTAGGCTGAACTGAAATTACACGTCCCAATATGTTCTCCAGATCTTTATGTACTTCAGATGTTAAGACGTGATATATTAAAGAATCCCGGCTATTTGCAAAAGCATTACACTTTTTACAATAGTGGTCAGTAAAGTTCTCTTCGCTTTCATCGGGCCTCTCTTCAAAATATGCGCTTATTAGATTTTGAAAATGGCTTACCAACACATGTTTCTTTGTATTGTAGTACAGCATGTCACTAAATTGACATTTCTGGCATACAAAGTTTACTGCATCATTCCGGAATTGTCTCATACCACCACTCACACTATAGTTTTGTATTTTCTTCTTGGAGTGAAACATTCGGAGGTGTTTTCCTACTATCTTAGACTGCGAAGCAAATGAACATTCTGGACAAGGAACAACTATCTCTTGATCCATTTCATCTTCATGGTAGCGAGTCAAGTGATTTTTGAAAGAATTAAGAAATTTTGATGAAAATTTGCACAAGCTGCAGCAATATGGATTTGTTCTGTATCTCTGAAAAACAAGAAAAAAGGGCATCATTTGTAGAACTCCCAAATGTATGTATCAACTGGTCAATGCACAGGACCAAAAAAACACCAGTCTTGTTAACTGGATATGAACTCTTCTTCAGGAGATTATACTAATGTAGCTTTCTTCTCTGTTTTAAACAATATTAATATAATAATACAAATAGTCTGAGGACCAAGCCAAGTGAAATCTAAACTTTTTGCTACTGTTCGTTAATCAGTAAAATTACTACAATGGACAGCGTGCACTCTACTTCTGTTCTTAGTCCAAGAACAATAATAAACAAGGAAAAAAAGGGAAGAAGCAATGCCCTTCTATGTCATACAGTTTACACAAGAATTATCAAAATGAATGTCAAATATCTATCACCATCTATGGTTAAAAGAAAATTAAAGGAATATATCAATGGAAATCTTGGTCCATCAAATTAAGACAAAAAATTTAAAGCAGAATATCAAAAAGTTGTTACTGGAACTGTAGAGGAATAAATTTGCCAGTGCCAATTATATATTCAATATAGTTAATTACTGAGTTATCAAAGAAGTTCTGATTGACAGCTGTAGTAACTTGCTTTCAAAATGCTGAAAAAGCAACCACTTATTCTGCATCACTTCCAACAATTTAATGAAAAAAGTACAAAGAGAGAAAGAGAGAAATAGGATAACTGACAAAATGCAAAACAATCAACATTTCTTATTCTATTTTCAGAACATCTTCCCCTGTTATAGAACATTAGTTTTGAAATTAAAGGAAGTCTTATAATACAACTTTTAACCAACTGTTCAAATCAAAATTGTTTTTTTTAAAAAAATCCAACAAGACATGCTCAAACAACTGAATGGATTTAAACCTGCAAATTATAACTATATTACATACCTTTCTTTTAGCAACATTGTCCCAATGAGATACATCATTCCATGAAGTACTAGAGAAATATTTTTCTCCTGGATCAAAACTTTTCAGAGTCTAAGAAAAAGCAAGATGGGTAAGAAAATATCCCATAACTAAAATAAAATGTTACTTAATGCAGTTACTTTAAAATTAAACTGAGATTCTAAAGCTCAGTGTAATAACCCAAATGTTTTTTTTCAAATCCTACAGCCCAAGTAAATCACACTTACCAAAAAGCATGACATATGACTTTTATTATTTTAATAAAAAAAGACAATTCCACTCCAAATAAAAGGTGAATTATGGCCTCACTTACTTGGTATTACCACCCTGACCATAACTGCTTTCATCTTCCTAAATGACTTTTGGCCAGCTAAAGTAGGCCCACTCATTTGAAATTTTATCTGGTTTGTGCCAATCCAAGCTCAGCACTTTACATTTTCACAATGCTAAAGATCTTCAATACCAAAATTTCTGGCTCAGCTATAGAGCAGGAAGAAAATCTGGAAGTCACTGGGTTTACTCACCCAATAACTTAGTCCCCTACTAAGGAAAATTCTCACCTTGCCCTGTTTTCTCTCTCCTTTTGAAATCAAGATGGAAGGGGACTCTTATCGTGCTTTTTACATTAAGCAAAGAAATGGTGTTGCATTTTTCCTTAGTACTTTTGTCCTCCCTTTGAAATTAATAAAGAACAAGAAAGGAAGGGAAGGGATTAAGTGAGAAGTTGGTTGGATGCTGTTGTTTTTTTGCATTTCCCAGTTGGATGGACAGCTGCTGGCTCATTAATAGCACTAAATGTTTGTGGTAAATATATTCTGGTCAGTCACAGTAATAAAATATTGAATCTTTTGAAGATGGCAAGAATGAAAACTGTGCCGATACAGAATCGCCTCTGATGGTTTTGGGAATGAAGCAGGGACACAGTACAAGTACCAGTACAAGTAAATTTTATAGCCATGTTCTCAAACATTTAGAGTGATAATCAAACCCAACCACAGTAAAACCCACTGCTTAAATTCAATCAAATGTATTGGGTTTGAGGCCATCTAACTTCAAAAGGACTCAGAGCAACTTGCAGTATTTAAAATTTAAGGGAGATGGGCTGTCTAGAAATACAAAATATAAATAAATATGAATAAATCAAATAGATGACTTATAAAATACGAATGTCCAGACAAAAACCACATCAACAACATTCGCAAGAGATTTGACCAGGGATTCAAAATACCCAAGCCCCAGTCCTGGGAAGAAAACTAGGTCTTGAGGAATTAAAAAACACTTGAAGAGTGGGAATCATTCATATCTCTGCGGGAATGTTGCTTCAGGAGGCACATTCTTCCATATATTCAATGTGTTTTTTCCTGTTATCAATTCTAAATGTACAGTAAAACTAAACTCGATGAAGGATTAATTCAACCATGCATTCAATATTTAAGATTTCTCATCAATATTAGAAACCTATGATAAGTTATATTAAACACAGAATATATTTTCTTCAGCTAAAATGCATATTTATTTCAAATGCTATCTCACAGGGTTATTGAGAATCAAGAATCAAATCAGGAAAGGAGAGAATCATATGTAATACTGTGAGCTTATACAGGAAAATCAATATATAAATGCAATATAAAAACAACCAAAACAGATCTCTTCAGAGATTTAAATATCTATACTTAGCTGAGATATTACAATTGGTTTGGTGTTTTATTCATCTGGGAAGGATTTCTTTATGAAATTGAGGAAGCTTATAAATTTTATTTTATTTGCCTTGATTTTAAGATATAAACTATATTTTAAGACTATTTTTACATAGATGTATTCAAGTAATCCGTATTCATATACTCATTATAACTGCAATATTAAAATATGTTTAAGCCATAAAAACTATCAAAACCTAAAATAATATTTGTTCAGTTTTTTAATTTGGACTTCTACTAGACAAATACTGTAGTCAAGGAGTATAGGCCAAAGTTAAATTTATTTTTAAAAGTAGTTTGTTTGTTTTTTAAAGTATGTATTTTTTTCCTTAGAAGACCCATACAGGTAGTCCTCATTTAACAACCAATTGCTCAGTGACTATTCAAACTTGTGAGACCTCTGAAAGAATAGTACTTACGATCCATTCCTCAGAATTCCAGCCATCAAAGTGTTCCCATGATTGTAATTTCCAAAGTTCCCTACTGGCTTCCCATGAACAAAGTCAGTGGGAAAACCAACAGGAAGTCAGAAGTCAAGGTGCTTGCTTATTGATAGCAATAGCACTTAAGACTTATATACCACTTCACAGTGCTTTTACAGCCCTCTCTAAGCAGTCTACAGAGTCAGCATATTGCCCCCAACAATCTGGCTCCTCATTTTACCCACCTCGGAAAGATGGAAGGCTGAGTCAACTTTGAGCCTGGTGAGATTTGAACTGCCAAATTGCAGTCAGCCAGCAGTCAGGAGAAGTAGCCTGCAGTATTACTTTCTAATCACTGCACCACTACAGCTCTTGATGGTAATGGCATTGCCTTTGCTAAGAAATGTGATCACATAACATCATGTTTACAAATGCATTGCAATCGCCATTGTTAACTGAGGACTACTTGTATTAACTCCAAGAAAAGGGTATTTCGTTGAACTTTTTGAAAAACTATTGCCACATGTGAAAAAAAATTAAATTATGGAAGTAAAATACTGAATACCTTTACACCATCAGAAATAGTTAGCAATAAAGGCAGAACAATAGTGATATGTTTACCTATATGTAAGTTTGATTTTTAGAATGGTCATCTATACATTCAAGTAAGCAAAAAACATTGCAGAGATCATTCTCAGTTTGAATGATCTGGCTGAAGATATCCTGCCTGTTCCTCTCCCTTGCCCTTTCTGATGTTCAGGGTGCACTACCCAAGTGCTATTCTGCTACCAATGAGGTAGAATACAGGCAACAAAAATCATAGAATATTGGCCCAAGGAGAAAAAAGGCACCTGAAGTAGGGAAAATGATTAAATTTGATAACAGTACAAATAATCTCAAATTATATTACAAAAGAGAAATCTAACCACCTTCATGATCTCTACTGCTCATGGATTACAAAATGTAATTAATTAACAAAGGATATGCCTACGATATTACAGGAAACAGCCATTCAAAAATAGCATAAACTTGCAGTAAATCTTTATGTTTGTTTGAATCTCCTGGACTTCTGATTTTCCCACACTTGCCAAACTTGTCTAGGATGCTATGACTCTAGCCAAAGCTTTAATTATAGTCTACTGCATCTCATGATGTATCTATTGCTCACAACTCAAAATAGTAGCATAGACAAATCTTTGCTGTGCAAATGAAATGGGCAGTTTTCTTCCAGGAAGGGAGACAATACCATTCAAACCCAGTTTGTAAGAGAGGATTCTGTCTTGAAAGAATCTACTAGGACTCCACTACTGATTTGGGACTTTTTCAATATTTATTTATTTGATTTTTATCCTGCCTTTATTAATTTATAAGTAACTCAAGGTGACAGCCATACCTAATCCTCCTCCCTCCTCCTATTTTGCCAACAACCCTGCAAGGTGGGCTGGGCTGAGAGAGTGACTGACTGGCCAAATGTCATTCAGTTGGCTTTCAGGAAAGACTAGAACTCACAGTCTCCTTGTTTCTAGACTGGTGCCTTAGCCACTACACAAAATTGGCTCTATCATACAATTATGTTATCCAATATCATTATTTGTGCCAGCTCCAAAGGGAAAACAGCACATGATTGTTAGGGATGACATTGTTTACCCTAACTGGTTTGGGTAAAAATAATAAATATGGTATCATGGTTTGTTAGTTAAAGTGTGTGTAACTTTAACTGCAGGAATGTAATTAAGGGTGTGGTTGTAAAAGCACTATATATGAAGCGAGGCAAATGCAGCTCTCTCTCTCTCTGGCTTACTGATCCCTAATTACTGGATGGATTGATGACTACGTTCTTGTAGGAGTGTTGATATTTCTCAACGGAGAGAAAATAAAGATTGGACTGATTTATTGTAAGTGTACTGACACTGGCTATTCAACATGGACTTTGCAAATAGAATATCCCCGACAAGACTTGACTGAAATGATATGGACTGTTTATATTTGACTATGCTATAATTCTTAAACGGAATAAACTATATTTTTGATAGCACAAGCGTATCTGTATTTTTACTGCGTGTTAACTAGAAAACTTATCTCACACATTTACCTGTCTTCCTATCTGACTTCGCTGCACGTTCTGTTTAGTTTGTTTTCCTTAACACCCGTTGGGGAATCCAGGCTTAACACTGGTTATGGGCCCAGAGAGACTGCAAAGTCAGTTTAACTAGGATAAAAACAGGTTTATGTAAAAAGTGAGATTTTGTGTTGTTACACGTTACAGTAAACAGACAGCTGTGTTTTATCAATTATAGTTTATATCCATATACTGAAACATGGCACAAGTCAGTCTACAAAGTTTGTCCCTTATATCCAAGTTGGATGGAACAAACTATGTTTCATGGTCTATGAAATGTAGTCTACTTCTACGAAGAGAAGGTCTGTGGAACATAATTGAAAACCCACCAAACGTAGAAGAATGGGATCCTGAAGATGAGGAAGATAGTCAAAAGATAGAAGAATTTAAACAGAAAAATGAACAAGCACTTTGCATCATAGGACTATCATTAACTGATCAGCAACTTGTTCATATACGCGGAGAGGAAACAGCAGTTGGGTGTTGGCAAAAACTGAAGAGGATTTATGTCAGAGATAACGTTGGTGCTCACATAAATCTAACACGGAAGCTTTTCCGCACGTATCTCCAAAAGAATGGTGATATGCTGAGTCATTTGAATACTATGAAAAGCATTTTTCAAGAACTTCATGAGAAAGAGTTAATTTTCTCTGAACTACACCAGGTCTACATAATTCTATCTTCATTAGACGAAAGTTATGATGACTACGTAACTTCCCTTGAAATATTGCCTAAAGAAAGTCTAACTTTAACTGATATCACTGGCAGATTGATTGAAGAGGCCAGAAGAAGGCTTGAAAGAGATCAGTTAAGGAGGGAGCAACCTCAAAACGA